TGAAAGTACCATGGGCTGCCAAAAGAACCAACAGATCTGTGTTGGAAGAAGTGCAGCCAGAGTGCTCCTTGGAGGCTAGGATGGCCAGACTTCGTGTTTCATACTTAGGATACATTATTAGGAGGAACCGGTTGCTAGAGAAGGATATCATGTTTGGTAAGGTGGAGGGTCAGAGAAAGAAGAAGACCCCGAGCAAGTTGGATTGGCCAATTGGTGGCATCACTGGTCTCAAGTGTGGCTACAATTATGAGGTTGGCTCAGGACCAGTGTTTCGTTCTGTTGTGTATAGGGTCGCTGTGAGTCAGTACGAACTCGAAGGCACCTAACAACAACTACAACAACAAAACCATTTATAAGGAATAGTCACTGGAGATAGGGCATAAGGAGCCTGACATACATTTTCTTGTTTGATCCTTATAATATTCTTTTTTTTTAAAATATTTTATTGTGAATTGACTGAAAGTTTACAGAGCAGATCATCAGTTTTAGATTCAACAAACCAAGCACTTCTCTTTACTGTGTGGTTGCCATCCTCTCCATTTGCCAACATTTAACTATTGCATTCCTCCCTGTGTCTCCGCTGTCTTCATCTTTCGTTGGCTAACTTCCCTCTTGTATATTACCTGGCCTGCCTGGTGTGGCACTTTGGATTAAATGGATTAATTTGCCAGACTGCAAAACTGTTTGAACTGCAAGGTTGGCGGTTCAAGCTCATCAGCTGCTCCTTGGAAACCCTATACAGGGTCACTACAGCTTGGAACCGACTCAGTGGCACTTAACAACAACAACCCATGTTAACATGTGTCTACCCTCTAGCCCATGAATACTTTTCCTTTCCTCCTCCCCTGTAGCCATTGTAGATTGTTTCTTTTATTAAGAAAACCTTTTTTAAAACTTTTTACAACATTGATCTCATAGAGTGTTTGTCTTTTGTGATTGATTAATTTAACTTGGAGTCCTGGTGTGGTACTGTGGGTTAATGCCCTGGACTGCCGAGTCGGTTAGAGTCGCAAAGTTGCCAGTTTAAGACCACCAACTGCTCCTCAGAAACCCTATACAGGGTCGCTATGGGTTGGAACCAATTCGATGGCATTTAACAACAATTTAACTCAGTGTAATGTCCTCCAGGTTTCAACCATGTTATGAGGTGTGTTTCACAGATTCATCATTGTTCTTCAGTGTTTTGTAGTATTCCGGTGTGTGCATGTACCACAGTTTGTGTAACCATTCTTTTCTGTTGATGGGCATTTAGGCTATCTCCATCTTTTTTTATGTATCTCTTGAAGGATCCTGTTTTCTTACCTATTTCTGTTCCTTATGTCTCTTGACTGGCACATTTAATCCATTTATATTCAGTGTAATTATCAATA